TTATTTTCAATGAGAAATTCAGTATTTTAATTTTTATTTACTCATTCTATTTTTATGTTTAGAAGAAACATTATATGTTATGAACATTACATTAATTAAAATTATGTTTTCAAGTTAAATTATTTTTTCAAGTGATTGATCAACAACTTCAAGAGTTAAAAACCATTTCACATAAATAAATACTGAGTTGCTTCTTTGTGTAACATGTTTAAATCCAAGAGATTCATTTTCTACATTTGACAAGGATAAGTTGATTCATTTTGCTCAATTTTATTCTTCTGAATTTTCTTCAGTTGAACTTTTGACATTAGATAACCAACTTGAAAATTATTTCATAGATGTATATTTTAACAGTGTTTTTCATAAATAGAAGGGATTGGTGATCTTTTTATGAAGTTTGTGGAGACAAGAAAACATGTTGTATATCCATTGGTATATTTGCTTTTAGAGCTAACCTTGATACTATCAGTGACAATTGCATCGGTTGAAAGAGTTTTTTCTACTATGAATATCATCAAGAATCGGATGCGAAATTGTATGAGAGACGAATGGTTAAATAATTGTTTAATTACTTATACAGAGAGAGGTTTTTGATAGTATTGAAAATGAGCAAATCATTCAATGTTTTTTAAACTATGAAAACTTGTAGAGAATAATTATGATATGTATTTGTTTTATAGAAATTTTATTTTATATTTTGACAAATTTATGTCTTTAAATATTGCTCCCACTACTTAAATTTTCTGGATCCGTCACTGATATTATGTATTTTGTTTTTTAGGGATCTGTTATTTGTTTTATTTTACTTCAAAAGTTGTTATTTTTTGGCCCATTAATCTCTTTAATTGGGCATTCAAAATTTTTGTTTTTTAGCCCAATAATCTATTCAATTAGGCATGTAGTTCAGTAATTGATACTTGACAATTGTAAAGGATGCATGATATGAATGTAATGATGACTTTATTAGTTATTTTTATGTTTTTTATTTTAGTATTTTAAAAATAATTATAATAGGTTTGGAGTTTCAATTAGTGGATGTTGGGTATCTTTAATCTTTTCTGTTGATGTGCAAAAAACTTTATTTGAACCAATTAAATAATTTAAAGTCCATTACACCTCTTACCCGTAGAAAATCACCCGTTCAAACCGAAACGTGCTCAAATTGAAATTCGTCTAAACCGAAAAATCATGCGGTCGGGTTCGGGTTTAAATAATGTAACTCGTAGGTTATATCGGTTTAGATTATATTGGACCAAAATTGACCATACCCAATCGTTGATCACCCCTAGGTGGCACATGATCTTCGATCCTCTCACCCTAACCATTTTGACTCCTCCACTTTACTCATTGCCTTTCAATTTTCTTGTTTCAATGTCTCCACTATGGCCATGATTTCTTGTAAAGTCGGAATGTTGTCCAGTGCCTCCAAATCTTCCTAATGCATACATTCTACCTCCTCCACCCTTTGTTGTGCTTCCTCATTGTCCCGATGCGACACTTACATTGTGGCCATGATATCTTATAGTAGATGATTGTTTTCGAAAACTACCTAGTTTTCAAGGTATAGTCGCTCTGCTTCCTTCACTCTCTGACATCACTACTACAAAACACGTTTTTTACATCGGCTCTCTGAAGCTATCTACATCGGTTCTGAAACCGATGTAGAATAGAGCGACGTAAAAAATATATAGATTTTTACATCGGTTCTGAGAACTGGTATAGATTAGGACATAAATCTACATTAGTTCTGCTGAAAATTGATGTAGATTTATGTCCTAATCTACATCGATTTTAGGTGAACCGATGTAGATTTATATTTTTTTGTTGAAAAAAATTGTTTATTTATAGGTTTTTTCTTATTTAACCTATAAACACATATAATTCCCAAACCTTCAATACAATTATTTTTCTCAACAAATTGAAACATCATTTCTTACTTATGTACATGTAAAACAATATGTAGCTAGAAATTAGCTCACTGCTCAAGATGGATAAATAGACCCACACTAACACAATGGTCCAAACTTTCCTTCTCACAAACAGTATAAGCTAGGAAAATCATCCCGAACCAAAACGATTCACCTTCATTTTCCACAAGCAATATCCAGATGACTAAACGTAGTACATAACAAAACAAAAGATACAAAAAATATATATATAATATTAAACAATAGCAACAAGATATGACAGTAGTTATAAAAAATGATAAAAGCTATAGTTATTAATTCATTACAACTTGTCTCACGTTTGAAAGTATCATAATGGATTAACTCGTTTAGGAATTAAAACAACCTATAACAATAAAAATAAATACAATAAAAGTTTAAATATGCTTTTTAGGTAAATTTCTTTTCAATTTTTTAAATAAAAAATCAAATTTTAGTTTTTATAATTAGAAAAAATTATATTTCAATATTCGTGTCCAAACATCATTAGAGTATATTTGGATAAAAAATTTAAATAGAGTAATTCATTTTTTTTAAGAATTTCAAATGATTTGGGGTGAAATGCTTTAATAGGATGAAGAATTTATAAATAATTTGAAATCTAAACATTTGTAAAATTTCTTAAAATACTAAAATTTCAAATTCTCTTAAAAAAGTAAAAATTTAAAAAATTTCAAATTCTTTTCAAAAAGGTCAACATAAAGAATATTAATTTTTTTCAATTATTTAATATTCAAAAATATTTTTTAAATTTGTAAATATTATCTAATATTAATTTTTAAAACTCAAATATTTAAAAATTGGCTAATATTTATTTTTATAAAATTTAAACTTAAAATTTCAACACACACAAACACACAAATATATAAATCAATTTTATTTATGGTGGAAATCAAATTATCATATGAAAACTAAGAATTTAAAATTTAATAAATTTGAATTAACTTATCTAAATAAAACATTAAAAAAATGATAAAAATTAAAATCAAAATAATTCAAATTTTAAAAATTTTAAATTTCTTGAATTTCTAAAATTTTTCATTCAAACAAACTATTAATAAACTTGTAACTTTATTAATGGTTGTTTAAGTGGTTTTATTTAAATTTTAATAAGAATTAAATTTATTGTACAAATTGATAACTTAAATAAGATTGTGTTAGTGATGTTTTGTGGGTTGAGCTAGTTTTAAGAGAAGGTGGACAAGCTAGTAATGGGTTAAGTTAGTGGGAAAGGTGACACACCCATAACTAGGGATGGCAACAGGGCGGGGCGGGTACGGGTTTTATGATACCCGTCCCCGTCCCCGTGAGCCAAACTCATCCCTGTCCCCGTCCCCATCCCCGTCCCCGTCGGGTATCGGGTATACCCGTACCCGTACCCATCAAATTTTTTATTTTTTATTTTTTTTAAAAATATAATATTTTTAAATTATTTTTTAATTATATTATAATTATAATTAGGTTATTTCTTTATCTCATATTATAATAAATAATCACATATAAAAAAATATTAAA